ACAAAAACATTCATCTTTACTCAGGCCTTCAGCCATTAAATAGTATATGGCCTGTTAAATGTGTGTGGGGACTGTTATGATGATGATTTTATTATTATGCTGTGTATTAATTTTATTCTGTGTAGATTATGTTGTACACTGCCCTGGCATCTTTGGACAAAGGGTGGAAATAATATAGTTTGGCGTTGCAATTTTTTTGTTAATAGTGTTTGACTGAGTACATTGGATCTTTTATTATTGTCATTATCATCAGCATCACATTTATTAATTATGTACGTAATGAGTAGTCCCTGAAGCCAGTATAGCTTGAAGAATGCGCTACATATTCTAAATTTGCATGGTATCATTTGGAAAATGGTGGATGGGGGAGGATTTAACTTATCTGGATTCCTTGATGTATTTGTTTTATTAAAAGGTTCCTGTTTGTGGATCCTATAGTAAAGCAATTATAGTAATTCTAGACTCTTTGAAGTTTATAACCTTAATTTCTGAAGAAGTCTTTTCCTTGATTCTCCAATGTTTTGGGTAGTTGAATATGAAAAAAATTAAATCATTTGAGAGTAAATTGTAGGGATTTTGGGAGTAAAACATGCATCCCAGCAATGTCCCGTCCCCCCATTGTATAGGTCATAGAATTGGAACACTTAGGATCATGTAGTCCAACCCTCTGCATTGTAGGAATATGCAGCTGGCCCTATGGGGATTGAATCCATGACCTTGTAGTCTCCTCCTAATTTTCCTAAACCAAAGTAGTGGTTCTATTAAAGCCCCTATCTGTTGCCTTTCTATCCTAAAAACTGCTGGTCTCATGCCTAGGCAGATCACTAGAAATCTCTGCTCAGGCACAATGTCCGCATTATACAGACTCATCTGCCCCCTCCAATTGGTTGTGGTTCAGTAATGGCATTTAGCAAGTTTGTGGGCCTTCTCCTGGGCTTGAGCGTACGACACTCCCTCCTGTACATGGTTGTAACGGTGTGGGGAGAAACCTCTAATTACACATGATTCTGACATGGGCCATGTAGCACTTCCAAGATATGTCTTCAGTTTTATTTCCAGTGGGTGTAAAAGCAACAATACAAGCGTAAACAATACAAGGCTTCAGTGAAATTGTATCTTTAGCTAACATCACAATTCCAAGAAAAAGCATGGCTTTTCAGTTGTGTGATCACTGTGCATTCCTTGCTTCAGAAAGTTACATAAACTAATGGGGTGGAAACCAATTCCTCACCTGTTTTATTACCAGAGGTCATAACTTACAATCTTCTGATTGTGCTGCCATCTTCTCTTTCAGGGTGGATTGCAAGAAGTTGCTGAGCAGTTGGAGCTGGAGAGGATAGGACCGCAGCATCAAGCAGGATCTGATTCTCTACTAACTGGCATGGCCTTCTTCAAAATGAGAGAGGTAGGTGGTTGGGGGTTTGGTTGGCATGAGGCCTTTGGATGAATAATTGTTATTTAACTTGCCACTGGGGTTGGGCCTAGTGAAGCTAACCCTGGAATTAGGCTTCTCAGAGTGCAAGGTAGTTCCTCTCTTTGGCAGAAGCAGTGGCGGAGTGGCAGCTTACTCTCTGCAGTCTTCCCCAATGCCAGTTTGTGTGTGCCTTTGACCAAAAGGCAGGTCCCAGCTTCACCTGCCTCACACATACCAAAGGAATCAGCCTTATATTGAGTCAGACCATTGGTCTGTCTAGCTCAGTACTGTCAACACTGATAGTGGCTGCCTGGACTGACTAGGGATGGTGGCAGGAACCAGCTGGGGAACCAGGCTCAGAGCCTGGGGACTGATGGCGGGACACCAATGAGTGGTCAAGGCTGGGAAGAAGGGGTGTCGGAAGCTGAAGAGGTAACTGGGCTTAGCAAAGTGGGAGAGTCTGTGACAGAAAGAAGTCCAGAATCAGAGGTGAAAGGTCAAGCCGGAGAAGAGGGAGGTCAAGAGGCAGAGATGATTCTAGTTGATGAAGGGTCATGGGTGTCTCCTCCTCCTGCTGCAACAAGCTTCCCTCCCACCTTCTCTCCCAGAACCAAAAGTGGCATGAAAAGGGCAGAGGAGAGGTTGGCTGCTCACAGATGCGGTCTCAGATTGCTTGGAAAAAGCAGAACGTGGGCAGCTGTGAGGAGGTGGGAACTTTGTCTTGGTAACTGATCCATGGGCAAGGCCTCCTGGGGATGAGCACCAAGTCTCTGCAGATTGTGCACAGTTAACTCCAACTTACACAGTGTGATTTAGTGCCAGCTGGTTCCTGCCAGTGGCTCACTAGGGTTTCAGGCAGAAGTCTTTTTCACTCATACCTCAAGATGTCAGGGATTGAACCAGGGATGTTCGACCTGCAAAGGAGGTGTTCTGCCATTGTCCATAGCCTTTCCCAATAAATGTGATGTGGGCAAGCAGTTTGCACTCTCATGGATTGATTGATTGATTGATTGATTGATTGAATGAATGCATAAAAATGGAAGAAAAGTGTGTGGGGCCACAGTTTGTTCCGAGCAGAGCAGTCTGGAATGTCCTTTTGTGACAAGATAGACCCTGCCACTTAGCTTTCTCCTCCTTAGCTTTCTCACTGACTTGTGGTTTTGAATTGTCTCCAGATGTTCTTCGAAGATCACATTGATGATGCAAAGTACTGTGGTCACTTGTACGGTCTCGGTTCTGGTTCCTCATATGTACAGAATGGGACAGGAAATGCATATGAAGAAGAAGCCAACAAGCAATCATGACATGAAATGGGAAGCTGCTTTTTCTGAGCTCCACGTGCTTGTACATAGGTTTTATCTCTGGTTGAATCCCTTGGGACAATAAGGCCTTCTCTTCCCCTTGGCACACTTCCTTTTATGCCTTTGTATGTACTAAACCTGACTGTTCCTATCCCAATTTTTTGACCTTAAGGTGTAGGCATTTCTGGGTTAAATGTGGCCTTGTACTTTGCCCATCTGTACATAAGCACATGTAGGAGCAGCGTGGCGGGTAGAAGAAAACTGAAATGATAATGAAATTTCTGGTAAACTTTAATTGGTCTTAGTATTGGTTTATTATCTCCCCCACCCCTTTCCCCAAACTGAGCTAGCACTGATTGTAACCAATTTCCACATTTCTTTATCCCTTCCGGTGTACAGGAGTTTTAGCTATTCAAGGTTGTGGACCATCACATTTGCACTTTAGAAAACTGACTCTCTCAGTCAGATCCTCTGCTTTATCTGAAATTCTGGTTCTGCCCCCTCCCCAGGCCAGACAAAATGTTGATCCTCTTGGTTGAACACACAAAGTTGCAAATTCATTAGAAAAGCTCATATTTGCTGCATAATTTTGTTCAGAACTACTGAAATCCTAGCAGCTGCTCATATCTAAACTGGTGTCCAGTCTTCCAGGTGTGTCCTGCACACACCGGCTTACAATCAGCTTGCCAGTCTCGCACTGCTGTGTGATCAAAATAACTAGATGGTGCCATCAGAATCTCTCCTGGGTGTAACTCTACTGAATTGAGAAGCTCTTGCCTGGTGTCTAATTTGTGCTCTGTTCAATTCAATAGGGTGTGTTTCAGAGAGGTTCCTTGTCAAATTTTCCCCCTGTATCTGGAAACAAGCTGTACCGCCTTCAGGGACAACTGTGTCCTATTTTGCTTTTGAGCAGAATAATTGAAATGATGGAGAGTGCAGTAAGATTTAACAGTTCACATTGTGGATCCAGTTCCTTATTCCTGTTACAGGAAGCTATTTCCTACAAATACTTTCTATTTTAAACCGTATTTATTTTCTACTTGAATAGATGAACACAAGTCCGTATGAGGACGAGATCCAAAGATTTGAAGCCAACTCGATAATGAGCTAAATAAAAGGAAGCTAGGTGTGCCCTTTTTGTAGCTGATACAAAAGGTATTTGTTGTAAAACAACAAAATCTATTTGTACCTAATAAAGCTACCGGAGGCTTGTAAGGCTAGTTTATTTTTTTGAGTCTAAGCAATATATTTTATAAATACATTGTTTTATTAAAGGACCACAAACGACTTTCTTAACCATGCAGAGCATGCTCATTTGAAGCAGTTGTGCAAGAGGACTTCAATTGGTATTGAATAGCTAAACCCTAACCTGAAATGATGGAGTGCCTGTGGCAGCATTTCTTGTGTATCGCCCACACTGAAAATCAGCAAGAGTAAATCCTAAGTTGATTTGTTTACCATGTACTTTAACCTGTTTTCCTCTCTCTCCTCAAGAAGTTACAGTGATGTAACTGTGGGTGGTCCTTTTTAAAGAACAATAACAGACATTTGCATAAGAGGGTATTTGTTTTTAAAAGCTTTTGTAAATAAAGGCTTCAAAAGTGTTTTCTTACATATCTGCAGACTTGTAGTTTTGTTTTGTTTTGAAAGCTTTTACTGGTATATCATTGTGCCCAATTAATCCCTTTGGATTTATTACCTGCGGCAATAATTTAATTCCACTGTTTAGTTGTCTCCAGTCCAGTCTGCTATTCAAAACATAATCTGATATTTGGTGTAGGAGATAATATGTTCTAGATGCCCCTCCACCAGATACACTAATCTTACTTACTTTAGGAACGGGGACCCTGTGATCCCCAGCCAAGATGCCTGAGTAGGTGGGCCAGATCCTGATCCCCACCATGAACTACAGGTAAGTCTTGGAACCACAACCACTATTCCACGTCTTGCTCTGGGTGTGGAGGGACCACTTGATAGATTTGGTTCTAGAGGCTTCAGTTGATGATATGCTTACTTAGTTTTGTTGTAGGAGTGGGCAACCTGCTTGAGGTCAAGGCCTGCATTCCCTTGTGGGAAACCCATTTGGTGACCAAATGCCAGCAGTAGGCTGACCAAAGTCTCTGTTGGGCAGTGGGAAAAATCGTATCTGGTAACAGTTGATAAAACTTGCACCAGCTGTGAATGGTGCATGTTTTGCATGCTAGCCATGTTAGTAAAACATTTTCAGTGCCACTGCTTGCGTTGTTGCACATGGCCCTTTCCAGTTCTCAAATTCAGAGGCAGAATCTTTGTCATTTGTCTCTTTTATTCTTATTTTCCCCAGCAGCAAGATATGATACAAAAATACATAATACTGCTTTACAGAGTACAAACAAAAGCAATGCAAGAAGCTCTTCTTTGCAAGACCGGTAGTTCTATGTACACTGTTGCTTCGTAGCAAACATGTACTCAGGCAAGCATTGGGAATGTGTTTTCATTACAGGGATGACCCAGTTAAAAGCAGTTCTGGAGCAGAGCATTTTGGAAGCTAGGACTCCTCATTCTGCTTCAAAAGTCTTGACAGCATCACTGAAGAAGTAAAGCAGGAAGAGGAGCAAACAAATCACCAGCAGAGCATACCTACAGAGTAATGTCATCTGTGTCCTCAAAAACTGATTCCTTTCAGAGGTGAAGTAAAGTTTGTCCAATCGCAGTACCCTGAGTAGTCCAAAAGGCTAATTTGTAACAGTCACACTGTACAATGGTTTTTTTCACCTGGCCACTTTATAAACAAACATTCACCTGATAGTCATGTAAAGTAATTTAACTAGAGTATCCAGTGAATCACTGGAGTTAACTTTTGTGGGGCAATATACAGATATTTTCTGGGTTCCATCATTGCCCACTTTCATTCAATTGGGTAACAAAGTTATACAAGTGCTGTTTTTGGAATGTTGAGATGTACAGTACTGACAAGGAGTTTTCACACCCAAATGTTTCCCCCCTTCAATACAGAATAGGTTGTGAGCTGTGTATAGTGTCTTCAGTGACAGGTCTCATTCTTTAATTGCATCTGGCTTGTAGATTTGGGGAAGAAAAGGGTGTTTTTGTTTTTTGCAATGTTACAGCTCTTACTTTAGTTTAACACCAGAACAAAATCCTCTCAAGTTTTTAAATAGTTTTCCTATGTTGCGAATTGAAGGAGTCCCAATCGTTACAGTTTCTGGTGCATTAAATAACAGTAAGTCTCTGAAGCAGTGGTCTTGGCACTGGTGAAAACACTGAGAAGGAGTAGGAACAAATTCTACCCAAAAGTTGTTTCCTAACTAGTTCAACATATCTGCAATTCACATAAAGTTTCTTCTTTGGCAGGTATGGGAGAGCTGTACCCCTTCAGATATTCACTGGACCACACCTCCATCATCCCTAACCATTGGCAATGTTGGCTGGGGATAATGCAGGTTGTAATCTATGAAAACACGTAACTGAACCCAGAACTCTCCATCTTAAAAGCCATTGTAACAGTGCATCCTCTATTAAAGCAGTAAAAAACATTTCTGGCCTTAGGTCAGAATTTTAGCTTTAATTATATAGGACTTTTAAAAAGCCGTATTTTCAAAATTAGTACCTTGTCACCAATTTGAAAAAAACAAAACACAGTAATCTACAGCATTATTTAGCTTTACTCTCAACTTGTACATTTTGTATTGTCTGTTGCCTTGGATGACCTGTGTGAGTTTTGCAGTTCTGCCAAACCTTTTAGTCCATAAAGGATTAGGTTAGATGAGGTTTGAGGTGGGGAGAAGATTTAAACATTATCTTGACAGGCTAGCTCAAACTTGTTTGGTGTTCAAAATGTAAAGGTGGAAGCTAGCAAAGGATTAGGCAGTGCACACTCTTAATTAGTCCCATTTACTTTTACCTTTGTGAAATAGCCTGAAAGTTACAAGCCTGCAAAAATAAATAATATTTGCTAACTGAACATGGATGGGTCACACTGTCCCTCCTTTGCCAGCTTCATAAAGGTGAAAAAGCACACTTGTAAAATTTATTGTAAGCTAGAGTCAAGTACTCCCTGTGTCGTTTCTCAGGCTCACTTTCCTTTGTGCCCTGGATGCATAGGACATGGCTTTACTTTACAGATCAGTCTGATTTTTTTTTAAAAAAAGTTTGTACAAGTACTCCCAGTGCTCCTAGAGGTGACAGATCACCTGCTAAACAGCAATCACCCATGCTTTGGGAAGATTAGAAATTTTTGTGTCCAGCACATACAGGGGGGTTATTAAAATGTAAATGCATTTGGGGCTGAAAAAAAATCTTCACCTGAAAAAGGGGCAGATGGGATAAGCCAGCAATTGTGTAAAAGCAATGTATAGCACAATCATAGTACTACTAGCTCTGTAGGCATATATATTTGTACGTACTAGAAGCATATCTACTAGTAATTTGCATTCCATATAATAGTGGCATATGCGAAATACATACTGTTTTACACATTAAATAAGAACTATTAATTCTGAAGGAAAGAATTCAATACATAGGCTGACCAAGTAGTTCCTAATGGGTGTATTAATATTTTGTTTCATATAGTGACGTGTTACTCCCTATGTGCTGTAATGGAATCTGAACTATGAAACCATTTAAAAGGAGTATTTTGAATCCTTGGCACATAACCAAAATGTTTTAATAGGGCTGCAATGATTGATCATGTAATCAAAGCACTCAAACATTTTAATCACCTAAAAATGTGTCCTCTGCTAAATAGGACTGCAGCTTTAAAAACAGACATTTGAAAACATAATTACTTCTACAAACTTAAGACAGCAAGCAGCTTCTTAAGAGGCATTTCCCTTCCATTATACATTGGAGTGAATAGTTCATCTAAAAACAAAAGTATATTTGTTCCTTCAAAATTATTGTTTTTACCTGTGTAAAAGTTTATGCAAATTTAATCAGCAGATTAAATTGACCAGTCAGCCAAAACCCACACAATTGACCAAAATGTCTTTAATTAAAGTGAGAGTCCTAGTTTTCAGTTAATCAGTGTTTTAGCCATGCAGGTGGAGGTGGAGTGAGAAAAGATTCCTTTCTCCCGTACTATAATTTATGAAGGAATTAGAAATTTGCATTTCCAGAAACAGGAAGTCATAGAGCTCCTCTAAAATTCTGCAGTAGCCATACCTACATCACCACTTACTATGTGTGACACCCACTTCTGCTATTTGCTCACTCCCTAATCCCACACGCTTTTATTGTGAAGCCCCATCGTTCACAGATAGCACTGATATTTACATTCAAGAAAATACGGTCAGGATGTATAACAGCCATTCCTACCTTAATAATTATGTGTGACATCTGAATTAGCTGGAAAAAGTGCATCATGATAATGTACTTACACCCATCATAGGCTGGCTCAATCTTTTGCATGAACCCCACTTTCCCAGGAGGTATGTTTAAATACTGGAATCGGACACAGTCATCAGTCTTCCTTTCCATGATGCAGCAATGTGAGCCATATTTAAAACGTGCTCTGATAGTCTGAATTTTACTGAAAAATACTATAAGATAGATTTTATCTGTAATAAATGTGTCCCATGAAAACTGAATTTCAGCTTTCCCCTTCATTTTATACACATTTTAATGAATGCTGGTAAAGTATCAAAGGCAGCCCTGCATAACCAGAATACACATCACAATGTGCATTATGATGAAGCAATGAAAGTACCAGTCTTTCCCATTCGGTCCCTGTGATTCTCATGACCACTTCCAACATTGAATACTAAGTAAATACAACATTATGCTATAGAAACTATTGGCTGCAAAACATGTCTGCACATACTGTGTAAAACTATGTAATGCAGATCACAATGATCTCAAATATCCCAGGGTCATATTCTGGCACTTCTGGTGATTGAACCTGTAATGACTCATTTGGATTAAAATGTAGGTAGGGATTTGGGGGGGGGGGATTTCCAGTTATAATGGTGATGATGTCAGAGACATCATACCATTTTACTTTAATAGAACCTTATTTACATGGGTGAATAATTTTGACGTAATCCTCAAAGTCTTCTTTGTTGCCTGCAGAATAGGAAATAATGTTCCTGATGTTTCATAAAAACACTAACAGTGATTCACTCAGGAACTGGGCTCTAATGGTCCTCCTGATTTTGAAATTTTTTTTTACTTGGTGCAACTGCAGCTGTAGGGTAAGTCACGGAGCCAGATATGCATCCTACTGTGTCTATAATAATTTAAAAATCTGACTACCCAACTGATTTTAAAGTGGCAATTTGTTTCACAAATGCACCCTTGTGAGTTACGTATAATTTCCTCTGCTCATAATATTACCAACTTCTACAAACCATCTTGGAATTAAATATTACCACCTATTTTATGTAAACAGCACAATGTATTTTATGTGATCCATTAAACGTATATAATTTCATCTGAGATACCGTGCATGCAAAGGCACTGATAAAAAACGTATTATGAAACTTCAGTTTTCTTGGCTTCAGAAATGTCTGACAAATCCTACAAAAGCCTAAACAACTGTTAGTTTCATTTAAAATAAAAAGGGTCTCTGCAAGCCCACTTGGCTTCATAATCCAGAGTGTAGTCATCACAGTAATTAATTTTAGTATGTTCTACATGATAATATACATCTTTTATGTACATCATCAGGGTAATGAGGAGGAATGCAGCAATTTAAGGATGCTAAATCAAACTGAGAAAAGATTCATATAGTTAAAATGGAGCCTCTTAAAGGCACGAAATTTAGGTTAAGCTTTTGAAGCCTAGCAGTCTCAAGGAATATTAATATCAAACACTCCTAATAAGGTTGAATAACTGAATAGTAAACAATCACACATTTATAGTCTCACTAAACTTTGCTCCAATCATGTTTTACATGCATGTAAATTGAGGATGGAGTTTGTCTTCTGCTCCCCCTGTATGATTTAAGAGAAATTGTAGCCTAGCTAGAAGTAGGTGAGTCATGTATAAAGTGGGGAGGGGGGGGCTATTATATTGGCATCAAACAAAACCTTTCCTAAAACTTATCCAACCTATCTAACTGAGGTTAGTTTAAATTTAAAAGTATGACTAACTCAGCTGAATGTAAGATTCAAAATATAGTCCAATTATTCTAGTCTACTAAGCTCCCCAAATCAATTGATAAAAGTTGAGAATATATTCGCATGGTTAAAGATAACTTGTACGTGGAAACAAGAGGCAAAACTTAAAAGATTCAAGAATTGCCATAAGAACAGGTTCAGGTTATATGAAAATAGCTTACACTCACCTGAGCTATCAATGCCAATGCAAAAATCCCCCTTTTAACCTAGTCCCTTAAAAAGGACTAGGTGTTGTCCTGTACGTCTTAAGGAAAGACTACCTGCTTTCCCAATGTGTAATCTTCAAGACATTCTTTTTGAATTTTAACAATAATTTGTGTTACCCAAAACATTCTTTTCATACATGTAAGAGATGGTAACGGGTCTTATATTTCAAGTGATGATACAGAGACAGTTAATTAGATCTTGAAATATCTTCTGGCACATCCACGCTGCAGTGGACTGGAACAGCTGGTCAATGGATGCTGATGTTGTCGAGGAATCCCTCATCCTCTCATCAACAATTCTTAACTACAACAAAGAATTAAAGTACACCAGTATGAAAAACAAAGGGTTCTGATGTAACGGCTATCATGTGTCCACAATCTAAATCACATGCAGATCATGAACTACAGAAGATTATAAAAGAGAAATTTATTTAATTATAAAGGTGTCAAGAAAGTTTATTTTTTAAAAAGAACTTACTTTTAAAGATCCAGAATTTCTCTCTTGTACTTGCATGACTAGGTTTCATTTTCCACCGTTAGTGCAGGATTGGTCATACCTTTGAAAAATAAAATGATGCGTTGAAGCAGTGGTTCCTATTTTTTTTACCAGACAGCCTCAGCAGCAGAATTCTACATCCCTTCAACATACATCTGTTGCTGCTAGCCTTAATTTCTCTAAAATATATGGTACTATGGGCAATGGATATTGTCTGCAGTGGAACAGATCTTGGCAAAGCTTTGACAAATATGAGAATATTGTCCTTCAGATAGCCTACATAAAACAGTTGCATGCACAACATATTATAAATGCCTCTTGTGGAGTTTGGTCATCTGTATGAGGTCTCTATACTTAATGAATAGGTCTCAAAATCAGAAATCCAAAGACTACTGTGGTCCATGGAGCAGGTATGTGTAATAAATATACCAATGCCCAACTGATTCAGGGAACTTTTTTTAAAAGGACAAGCTGTGCTGCATTCTCATGCATGTTTATTTCAATAGAATATATTCCCCCTTTTGTTGCCAGACATCCCCTGCTTTAATTCACTCACTGCCCAGAAAGTTGCAGGTTTCAAATTAGAGCTTAAGTATAAAGGAACTGCTCATATAGTATCTGCTTTGATATGTACGTAAATTTTATTTTGTTTTCAAACCGGACTGAAAGCTAGGCCTGCAAGCAAGTCACCCTGAAAACATCACAGCATAAAAAAGCCACAATAATCTCTTACCTGATTTGTTATTTTCAATACTTGCGCTGGTTTCTGTCCAAGACTGAGAGTCAGTAAGGAGATGACTTTGGGAGTCGCGTAATGGTTTAGCAGGAAAATGATGACTATTCTCACTGTTCAGTGACAAAAATGTTGAAGGAGGAGCAAAAATATAGTTAGAAGACCGCCAGGTTAGGATTAGGAATCTCATTACCAATGTTTTTATTTTTCCTATAAATATTCCAACTTGGGTGCTCTGTGTTTCCTGGTGCATTTGATGAATTCCAGTGCCTAAACAGGTTAGTCTAAATTGTTGATGCATGTGTGCTAGAGGGAGCAGCAGGAGATGCAAGCTAGAGGTTTGCAACTCCTCACTGAGATAGGATAACAGCCACGTATTAGAGTGCTCATATGGTATGGTTGCCATGCTTTGTCACAATGCAGCATTCATGTGCTGCATGATGAGTACCATGTTTGTTTAATTGCAGTACTTATTTATCTTATAAATTTTATACCCTGCCCTGTTGCTGAAAATGTTCTCAAGAGTGGCTTACAAAAACCAGCACGAAGATGGTCCCTGCCCTCAGGAACTGGAGAGATTAACATTCTGTAAAAATATGGAGCATGTATGTCTATTTGTTTTTAAATGATCACATTGAAGAATGCTATCTACAGTCATTTCTGCATCTACAATCAAGAATTATAGATTGTACAAGGTCATTAATTATGTGTCTCAAATGCTACTTGTGAGAGTGCTTCTATGCCAATGTATACTTAAATGTTAATATGACTATTATCTAAGCAGCAGGCAAGAAACAAAAAACAACAAGGTAAGTGGAAGCTTGACAAGGAATAAATATAGGCTTACTTTTTGTTTGAAGAACTATGTCCAGAAGGAGTAGAAGCCTGCTCAGGATCTTGGTTAACAAGGCAGGTAGGAAAGGAGCATCCATCACCTAGGCTGAAAAGTAAAATGAAACAACATTGTAAGTAGGCGAGCAGCATTAAAAACTCTTTCAACTTTCATTTTTGTTTTCAAAACATAACCGGTTTTCTTTCAATAAAACACCTACCTGGAAAACACTGGCAACAACCAATATTTTTTCTCATCCCCAAAGACTTGTCTTAGGTTTTTGTCAAATCCCAAGCTAAATCCATTCTTATCTGTTCCATGTCGAAAAACAGGTGCTCTGAATGCCTCTGGAAAGGGAAGAGATGTTTACATTCCTTAGCCCATTCAAAGCGGTGCACACAGTTCACAGAATATGGACTGAATCAAATTATGAATCCTCACCTAATGTTGATTTATTTTTGGTCACTAACCAACAGTGATATCCAAAGAGAGATGATAAGCTGACAGAAAACATGGCTGCGGCAAAGAATAAAAACATAATATGGAACTTGGCTTGAGTATCAGGAAGACCATTCTATAAAGAGAGGAAGGGGGGGGATGTCAATGCTTTATACTGGAAATAAAAGAAAGGATCTTTTATCACCTATGTTGAACTTCTCTAATTGCTAAGGAAATTTTATTCAAGAATTACTGGGACACACCCAGATACATCACCCCTAATACTTGGGGAAAATGGTGGAAAATACAGTTGCGTATCTTGGAATTCAAACGGAACCCATTCCGGAAGTCCATTTGACTTCCAAAGCGTGGCTTCTGATTGGCTGCAGGAAGCTCCTGCAGCCAATTGGAAGCCACGGAAGCCCTGTCAGGCATTCGGCTTCCAAAAGAACGTTCAAAAACCAGAACACTCACTTCCGGGTTTGCAATGTTCGGAAGCCAAAATGTTCGAGAACTAGGCTGTTCAAAAACCAAGGTACGACCGTATATGATAAATATTCTATGGGTACTAATGGATCACAGCCTCAGGAAGTAAGGTTAATTTTGTTAATAAGCACTGTTTCATTTTCGTACTGTAACACAGTACTCATAATTACTATGCCTCAGTAATAATGCATTCTTTCCCCGTGTAACTTCTCATTTTCAGACAGGATTCCTGATATTCGACAACCATTGAATGGTAAATTCGAACGGTAGTTCAGCAGTGGCCTGAATATGACTCCAGAGTAAATCAGTTTTAGTTAAATTCCTTTGCTAAGTTAATTTGGACTAAAATAACAGTTAACATAGATTTCAGTGGAACCCAAGCGCAACTAAACAAAGTTTACAATGCTTACTTCTCTCAGCGCTGAACCTGGCTGTGGCCCACCATTTTAACTCCCATACAATGCCACTGAGGCCCCAACATAGCATTGATCCAGAGTGATGCTACATTGGGGCAACAGAGGCATTATCAATGAATTAAAATGGCAGGTGTCCGAAGTTACACTTGCTAGTAGATTGGCTTTTTTCTTTTTGCTGCTGAGCCTGCCTGTCAGGTAAGATAAAGGAAAGGGGCGGACAGATTGTCACTGCCACCAAAGGCCCCACCAAACCTGGCATCAACCCTGAGTGGCTTTTAACAGTGAATGTAGGCCATATGCCATTTTAAAAAATGCTTTTGATCTTTGTCAGCTAGCATAAAAACAACGACAGGTTTTTCCTCCCCAAAGCATTAACAAGCTTATTACTCTTACACGGCTACCTACCTGTAACTAAGCTTATTACTCTTCTTCTCCCTTACCAAATCATAACCACTGACCGTGACTACAAAAACTGAGGTGGAACTCTTCTAAATTATTATTATTATTTTATTATGATTATTTATTAAACTTGTATACTGCCCTATACCTGTAGATCTCAGGGTGGTTCACAACAGTCTAAAATGCAGTCTAAAAATAGATAATATATGAATATTAGTTAGCAGAACAATCCTATGGTTTTTCACTTGAAAATAATTCCCACTGTGTACAGCTGGGTTTACTTTACTTACTGCCTAGTAATTGTGTTTAGGATTGTACCCTATATATAAGCAGTTAACATGTTTATGTTTACAGAGCTAAATATTTGAAACATGAAATACTTTTAAAACTTACTGTCCAGAATTTAATAAAATACTGTAAATCGGTTGCAACAATGAAAAGGCAGTATAACAGAGAATATGCCAAGAAAAGAAGGAAAAATTTGTAATTGGAAAATCCAACACAGTTGTTCACCCTAGGGAAAAAGAAGCTTGCATCACTGAAAATACACACATATAATTAATTAATTTTCATTTATATTTCTTCATAGGCCTCAAACTATGTATTTACCTCCCACCTTTCTAATCCATTATAATCAATGAAATTCCTCTATCTAAAGCAGTAATGACTGGGTGCTGAGGAATATTGCAAACATAAAAATGTCTGTCCTCAAAGGGAACCACTTGCATACCAATGGCATCTGGGCTTTTTCAGATGTTCTCCCTGGGCTTTGCACAAGGAGCACATCATAGCTTCAGTAGACTCAAGCACTAAAATACATCCTTATTTCCCATGCATGAACTTCAAAAAATCGTTGAAAAGATTTACTTTTCTCTCGGCTTCCATGATGGTTGTTCTAGATGGAATTCCAATGCCAAAATCTGTGCACAATAGCCAATGTGTCTTCTAGATACTGTTGGACTACATATTCTGAGTTTTGCTGGCTAGGTTGATGGCAGTTAAAATGCAACACCATCAGGACACCACCCTAACCAGTTCTGGTTTACTGTATGTTACTATTTTACTAGAGATTAATGACACTCCTTTTCTCTGGCATAAATTGCTATTTTGACAATTTCTTTTTTTTATTCCTGTTTTTTAAAAAATTAAAATGATTAAAAATCTATTGTATCTAGATTTCTTTTGAAGAATGTGGTCCCATCCAGCAGGAGTTCTCACATAACCTTTTAATACTTGAAAAACTAACCATGCAAAACACAGGTGTCACTTTCCTCCTTCATAACAATTCCCTGCCATTTTGTGAAATGTTTCTATTTCCTTAGCTGTAGACTATGTGGTACTCCTCTCCAAGATAGCACACACAAATACCTTGTTTAACAAAAATAAAAGCAAAAGCAAAAAACAGGTGATTCCATTCCAATAGTTATCACCGTTGCTGCAAGGCTACTACCCCAAAAATGCTGTGCTATTGCCACAAGATCTTGTCATGCCATTTCCTCAGATCTTATCAGTGAAACTTTTCACCCCTCAACATCAGGAAACAGTGTTTGTTTCCCATATTATCTAATCCAAAGTGATGAAGTAACATGGTTACTTACCAAGGGCAATGATGATCCATTTTCAAAATACATCTTTAAAAAGACAACAATAATAGAATATAATCGGCAGTATCAAGCTTGTGGTGATAGCTAATAGTCTATGCCAAACGAAATGCCTCAAATATTAAGCATACAATTTTTTTCAACGAGTTACTCAAGTGTTATGTCCCAATGAGATCACCGGGCTATCCACACATGTAAATAATAGCAGAATTCCACACTGAGAGAATAAATAATCAAATTCTAATTTATAAAGAAATAATAACCATTAATAAAAGAAAAAAAACTGTATTTAAGTATATCTAATTTCTTCAGTAATCCATGCAGGTAATTTTCATTGCTCAACTCCTTCAGCAATAACAGAAATGCTACATAGCCTTGCAATATTTGATCCTTACTTATCACAAACAGAGCAGTGATGACAACGGTCTGGTTTTACAAGTTGGCATCTGTCACAGTATCTGATTGCTGCAAAGACAGAAAAAGACTTCTGTTTAACATAAACGTTACTGTTCTGCTGGTCCCAGAAACTGATGCAGTAAGGGGGGGAAATGTTCTGCCAAGAAATTTATGTTTCTTTTTCATGTCTTGACTTGCTAACAATGTAATATTTCTAACCATAACAGGTGAAAAATATGAGCTGATTTAAGCCAGCAGTCCTAACCACCCTTAAAAAGTTCCACTGAATTAAATAGGATGTACTTCTAAGTAAACATGGTTAGGATTGCATTGTTAGTCACTATCCCCAAACTAACTTTGCACTCATGTAGCTTTGAAAGATTACTGGCAATCATATCAACTGGCTGCTTGAAGGGGAACAGGACTAAATCCACACATACACTCCATGGCTCAGGCTTCCTCAAACTCGGCCCTCCAGATGTTTTGAGACTACAATTCCCATCATCCTTGACCACTGGTCCTGCTAGCTAGGGATCATGGGAGTTGTAGGCCAAAACATCTGGAGGGCCAAGTTTGAGGAAGCCTGCCATGGCTGGTCAGTGTTACCAACCAATTCTCAGGCTAGTTCCTACATCAGGCTGATGAGTGACACATACAATTCTCCAACTAGCTAGGGACATGGATAAAAAGACTGCTTCTGTGCTTGTAAGACCTCTAACTGGATTGAGGTTATCATGGTTTACCCAAATGGTGTTTAAATGTATTCACCTTTATCTAGGCCCAGGAATGGGGAGCCTCTGGCCTGTGGGCCAAATCCAGCCTTTCAGGCCTCCACATTTGGCCTGTGAGCATGTTTTGGGCAACTCCCATCTGCCCCCAGGTAAAGGTGGGACGTGGTTGAAAGGGGCTTTGCAGGCACTCCCAATCTGTTTTAAGTTGATCATACAAAGCACAAGAGAAAGGGAGTTTTACAGGCATCTCTTCTAAGAGAATTCCCTCAGGAAGAACAATAATTTCCCAGTGAGTTTAGGAGTGGAAACACTTCAATCTTAACAACTGTTTACCTCCAGACATAGTTCTTGTGTAGACGGGGAGGTCCTTGGCTGCTCTCCTCAGCACTTCCTGAAGGATTTCACTTCTAGTTTCTCTGTCTAACAGTTCCTTATCTGCATAGGTCAGGTGGTACTAGAAAAAAGGGAAACTGAATTAGTAGCACAATATTATAATAGGTAAATGCTCTTATACATCTTGAATACATGGTTATGATGTGCCAGGTGATTTGCATGATGGCTCAGTTGGTTACACCATGGTGCTGATAAAGCCAAGGTTGCAGGTTCAATCCCCGTACAGGACAGCTGCCTTTTCCTGCACTGCATGGGGTTGGACTAGATGATCTTCAGGGTCCTACCAACTCTACAATTTTATGCTTTATGTGTGCGCCTCCCAAAAACCAGGTGTAATCTGGAAACTATCATAAATTACTTCATGCTATTCATTTTGTTAATTTATTTGTGGAGAAAGGATGAGTGAAAAGACTGTTCTAAGGTAAATGGGGTTAGGATTGCAGCCTAGCTCTTAAAAAAAATAATTATTGATTTTCCAGTATCGTTCCAATAGCAGCCTCATTATAACAATACCAATTTTATCCAATTAATACAATTATTAATGCCAATTCTTCAAATGTCGAATTTTTCAATTTAATTAAACTGGCCCCCTTGAATGCTACAGTTGATGAGTTCATTCTTCTACATCTTTTCTGCGTTGCAAAATTTTAATAATTTCTATTACATTACATTCAAATATAATAATCCCTTATGTAACAGCTACAATCTTGTGATTTCTATTTGTGTTGATATAATAGATAATTTACAGTGGTGCCTCGCAAGACGAAAAGAATCCGTTCCGCAATTCTCTTCGTCTAGCGGTTTTTTTGTCTTGCGAAGCAACCCCATTGACAGCTTAGCGGATTAGCGCTACAGCTGTCTAGCGGCTTTTCGCGATCAGCTGTTAAGCGGGTTATCAGCGGAATAGCTGATAGGTGGCTTAACAGCTTAGGAAAAGGGGGGGGAAGCGAAAAAAACCCGCGGGGACGCGCAAGATTTTTTCGTCTTGCGAAGCAACCCCATAGGGAAATTCGTTTTGCGAAGCGCCTCCGCGACGGAAAACCCTTTCGTCTAGCGGGTTTTCCGTCTTGCGAGGCGTTCGTCTTGCGGGGCACCACTGTATAAAGTTTCAAGTGAGGAACTTTAGCTGTAATCCTTAATCTTTCTTGCATATGACAGTTTTCCCCATGATGTTTCCCCATCCATATATGGTGTTGTATCCTTCATTCCTGCAACTGTTGATGGTTCCCATCATGCTGTTATCTCAGAGTTTCCAAAAGTCACTGCATTGTTTTGTCCCGTGATTCGGCTTCCAATAAACAAGCCGTCTTTGCCATTTTTCCAGCCTAGGAAGAATGGTCTGAATCCAGACTGCAGATAGTTAATCCAAAAACTTTTATTCCCGCTGCTGATAGACTCTTTTCCTCCCTGGCACTGATTTATGGCCAATTATCCTTATCTTGAACACATTCATTTGTGGATAATGGAGGTTAGGGAGGATTTTGCTCTATATTTTCAAAGCATAGCATTTCTCCCCCCGCCCTTAGTTCCATTCTCTCACTCACACAGTTCCAATTTTGTTAAATTCCATATTATATTCCAATTTCTTCCAACCTTACTTGTGCAGATATTTTTAAGAAAACTTGCAAAACTTTAATAAAACCCAGCGCCTTTGCCTGCCTTCGCATTCCATGGAGAAGCGAGTGCCAGACCGCCAGGCAAACTGTGGGTGAGAGCCTGGTTCCCCTTCCAACCGAAGAGGAATGCAGATAATGAAATTCCCTCATCATTACCTGATTATCTCAGTCTCTCTCTCTCTCTCTCTTTGTGTGTGTTGGGAGAGACTTCATTCCTCACACACTGGAAACAGGAAGCCTGCAGCCTAACTTTCTTAATGCTCCATATTATTCACATCTCAACCCCAGATGAGACAGTTTGAAAAGTCAACCTTTTCAACCCTCAAATAGTCTCAAAAGGAGACATAATTAAGTTATCATGTCCTATTGCTAAGCTTGAAAAAATTAAGACCAAGTGCTTCGGTTTTCTTTCCTCCATCATTTGCAGTGCTTTTCTTTATGTGTCTTGGCTTTGGGATTGTAAGCTTGAAGGCAAGGACTGCCTTTTTTTCTTTTTGATGAAGAGCTGGGTAAAAATATTTCAAACAACAGACAGACAAACCAAAGTGCATGAAAGAACACTGTAGTATTAGTTGTGATTTTATTCACCCAGATGTAAAATGTTTGCAACTATCAATAATGACCATGTTTTGCTAACTGGTGGCCTTCAGGTGAATGGGATCTAGAGATAACGAATTCATACAAGGTGTTATTTACGCCTTAAAAAATGGGGATATTATACACCAGAAACAAAATTAACAAAGGTGTTTTTCTTACACCACACCATAACTTACTTCTTTGGAAGGATTCATTGGTGATGTAAAGATTGTTTTCCAGTAAGACCACACAAACATCGCGAAAAATAGATGGTAGGCAAGCAGGCACACCACTAAAACAAAGACATAAAATTAAGGCATTGAACAAATTACAGAAACTGCATAATAGTGTGAGAAATGTACAGACAACCAAGATGAAGCTAAACATTTCCAAGGGTCCACAGTAGGTAACAGTGCTATCAAGACATCAGCACAACTATAAAATAAAATAAGGATAATTAAAGAAGTTATGTAGCACTACCAGAAAATGTGCAGCCAGACTTGTAAGGTTTTCTAGGAAGAATTCTATGGGTGCAATTTAGCACTGTACTATTTTGATTTTTTTCCCAGTGCAAGCATTTCTGCTCGCTTGATGAAATTATCTCCCATTCTCCTCCCCGCTTCCCAAGCCCACCAAGAAGATTTGGGGGATGTGTGGAGGACACACAGGAGACAGCAACTATAATATGAGTAAAGTCATGCAAGGTTGGAAGCTACAGGAGCAGACCAAGGTATGAGAGGGAGGAAAGATGAGGTGTACTCGCAAGCAAATTAAGGTCCTCCGGTATCCTCCCTTAAGCCATGGGAAATTTATCTGGCTGTTCTTGAAGAACGCAGCGTTAAGAGATGAGCTTGTCTGTTGGCTATTTCTATTTATTTAATTAACTCACTGATTCATCTGATAAGTTCCCATCACCATAGAGGGCGCCCACTGCTGTGGACACTTAAAATAATTAAAACGAACACAGTGATATTACAGTCATTACTAATCGATAAAATCTAATAGAAGTCATAAAAACATAACGTAAGACCAGTTACAGTTTAAATCAAGCTGACTGCAAAGCCATGAACAAGTCTCATTAGTTCTGCATCTGAAGCCTGATGGAATCAGTTAAAATAATTCCTTCCCAATGACTGACATTACTGGCTCAGTGAAGGGTCCAGTTAAGGATTCCAAGATTAAGGTTCTGAGCGGCTGATTTTCAGCAATGGTTGAGTGAATATCACTGTGCAATAAGGACAGATATAATATATGGAACCAGACCTCATAGCAGATTCTCCAGCAGTAGTGTGAGCTTGGATTCCTCCCAGGTTTGCAACTGAAATGATGTGCACACCAGCAAAATGAACCCTGGTATTGCCCCTCCCGCATGCTTCAGATTGGTTCTCCACATTTTTTGTTTGTTTTTATAAGTGCCTCATGATCATTCACACAGTGATGCATTCATTCATCAACTTATTAGTTTCCTTTCTGAAAAGGAAACTTCTATAAACTGCCAAACTGCTCCAGGGATAGGAGGGGGGAGGTTTTTTTGGAAGTGAGGACTTATCCAGATTGGCAACGCTGATCTAAGAATATGATGAACCTCTTCACTCTAATAACTATTTACAGTGGTACCTTGATTTTCAAATGTCTCGGAAGTAGAACGTTTCGGTTTTCGAATGCCAAAAACCCGGAAGTAACTGCTTCAGTTTTCAAATGCTTTTTGGAAGTTGAACATGCCACATGGCTTCTGTATTGAGTTTTCCGTAAGTAAATGCTTCAGTTTTCGAATGTTTTGGAAGTCGAACGGTCTTCTGGAGCAGATTACGTTCGAAAACCGAGGTACCAGTGTATTTATTTAAATAAGAATATTTATTTATTTAATAAGAATATCCAGCCTTTCCAAGGCTTACGCCTCACTCAAGGCAGCTTACATAAATACACAATAAAACATATTAATAAAATACAGATATGACAGGCACGACAAATAACTGGTAGTCTTCAACACAGACTCTTATCCAAAGTGCGCAGGGAAAGAATGCTGGAATGGAAAGGTCTTCAACAACTGATGAAATTGTCCAGGGAGGGAGGCATTCAAACCTAAAAGGACAAGGTGTTTCAAGATCTAGGTGTGGCCACATCAAAGACCCTCTCTTGGGTGCCTACCATCCATGTTTCTTCTATAAGTAGGATACAGAGAGGGTTCTCCCCACTAGATCTTAGGCAGGAGGCAAGCTAGTCTGGAAAGAGGCAGTCCTTTAGTCAACCTGCAGCTAAACCATTTAGGACTTTATAGGTGAATGCCAAAGCTTTCAACAATATTCTTCCCCATCCAAAACAGGCTGAATCCCTATTCCAGAATCGGTCTATCTTCTGACCAGGAGCACTTGTGTCTTGTTTAGATTAAATATCAATTTTTTAATTCTCATCTTGTGCATTGCTGCCTCAAATCACCAGTTTGGAACATAAACAACTTCCTTAGTGTTGAACAGTAGAAACAGAGCTGTGTGTCATCTAGTGACCAACCAACCATAATTGCTTCACACCATAGTTTGCTTTTTCCCCAAATGGGGAAATTTTTTATTCCTTTATCCCCAAATGGGGGGGGGAATAAAGAAGCCGCCCACATTTCCCACATTTACTATAAAGCAGCCGTTTCTGCCACTTCAGACTTTGCGGAAGGGGAGGCACACTCTTAAATATGCCCCCATGCAAACAGTAATCAGGATATCAAGAAAAGGAGTAATAAAATGCAGACTAGGAATCTAACAAAACTCTATTTTATCCTTCTTTACTTGCATTGATATTGAACTTGATTATTGAGTAACTTACACAAGCTGATTCAAAATCATATCTCCATAAGCATTCCTTCTCTCCCTCTCCCTCTCTCCTTGCCTTATATTCTATATCCATTTTAGATGACTACCAGATACTGCTTTTTCCTTTTTTTTACTACTACTACTGCACAGAAAAAGATTTTTTCCTGGCTTGTCAGTAATTCTTCTATTGGCAGGTCCTGAATTCAAAACTGCTCATCTGGTATAAGTTAAATAAAAATAATTACATGCATAAATATAGGAATCAAAATGCAGAGTGTAAATCACAAAATGTGTAGTAAAACCTTGCTAAAGGTAAGTGAACTCTATATAAACTGGGTTTTTTTGTGATATTGTAAGAAAAGCAAAACATAAATGTAATAATAAATAAACAGTTACCTTTTTCTCCAATATTTGTCATGGTTACTGCAAGAGAGACAGAAAGAAACAAAGTGAAAAATATTAGTTGCCATTATTTGAGCACAAACATTTTTTGAGCACAAACCATTTTCTTGAGACAATGTGTACATTTGTTAGTTAATATAAATATTTTACTTTGTAAACTGCTGTGATCAATTAAACATCCATTCCAAAACCAGCCAAACAACCAACCCTGGGATAATATCCTAGCAGTTACAACATTTATAAGTAAATAAAGGGGGAACATTCAGGGGCCGATATTCTCTCTTGAAAAGATAATTAGATCCTTGAGTGGGTGAACAGCCACAACTGCATTAAAAGGAGAAGTACTCTTCTCAATAAGTTCTAGTGTGGAAGAGGATACAGGAGTTTCAACTTGAGATAGGAAAGTCTTCTTAAGCCAGTGGAAAGTATTAAGATAGACAACACTCTTAAAGTGCTAGTCTGCAGAGATATGCCCCCAAAGGGGTTGAGAGTGGTGGCGGAGGGAGAGGCGCTCCTGGCTCCCAGGGTCTTGATGCCCTTTTCTCACAGCTAGGGGGCTGAAACTGAAATTTCCCATTATTGTTAGCTATAAGGTTAAAATGGGATCACCAATTGGATGATCACTAACAATTTATCTACAAGTGGAATTATTATATATTGAAATAGAGTGATATACAACCATGACTTATTGGTAGTTTTCTCCCCCATCCATCAATTTTATTTCATTTATTTCTAAAGGTATACAGCCTTAACACTTCATGATCAAAACTGCATTGGTGGTAAAATAATTAAATGTGGGTTATGTAATTTTAGGTTTTACTAATTATAGTATTTTGAGATACAAACACTACATTGGGCAGCAGCAGGGGGAAAGATGGAAAGCAGGTCTCACCCCACCCAATTCTGAGACCAGCTCTGTTTGGCTCCTGCTCTTCTTTACCTACTTCCATTCAAGTTTGTTAGGATCCAAACTCAGTAACTTCAAAACTGGTACCTGAATTTACCTGTTCTTCTTCTCTCCCCATCCCTTTTGATACACAACATTATGTTTTACAATGTAAGCCTGTGGGCAGGGACTGTCATTTGTTTTTGATATTATGTGAGTTGCTTTGGGAGTTTTGGGGCCTAAGAGTGGGAGAAAAATGCTTCTGAATAAAGAAACAAACAAGTCAAATATGACTGAGTGGCACCTTGAGGTTCTTTGTCCAACATCTTCTACTGAGTAAATTGAGTATGATTACAATGTATGGGGATGCACATGCATTTGAGGTTCAACTGATTTCAGCTGGAAATATTTAAGCATGTGATTAACTTTTTCATTCAACTCAATGATGCTTCAAAGTGCTTATGCTTCATGTCTATATATAGCTAAGTACCAGACGTTGCTGCATATTAATTGTACTTGTCACAGTAAAATTATGTGACAATATTTCAATTAAAATACTTCATCTTTTTTCAATAACTTTTCCTTTAAAAATTTACACGTGAGACTCAACCAATATTTTATGTGCCATAAAGAGCAAAGCTATCTAGTGAGCTGGTCTGCCTAATGGATAAACAAAGTTCCTAATGGATAAACAATGGATATTGGTTCAAATATCATCAATGTCATGGATTTGAGTGTGGTCTTGGCCAAGTCACGTTCTCTTAGCTTATATTCCTTTTGGGCATATGGAAATAAGTGGCCTATTTTACATGCTTGTTCAAACAGAAAATGTAATAGATTAAAACCACTTGGAAAAAATTAAGAAATGATATAGGAATTATCATTACAATTTTAACCTCCGGGTCCTTGTCATTTGTGGGTTGTCGTTTTTTGTAATCACATTACTTTCTGCATAGAGTACATCCAAAATGTTCTCCTTGTTTTGTGTTATGTCTAATACACCATACTTTTTCACTGTTCTGTTTGAGACATACTGGTTTGTTTCTGTTTAATCTCTAATACACTGCCCAGAGAGGAAGGCAGGATATAGCCCATATACTACATAGTTATGACTAAGTTCTATTGAAACCAATGAAACAAGTTAGTCAAGCCACAACTAACTTCACTTATGGAATTCAAACAGGGCTGACTGCTCCCAGCCACCATGGCCATATATAACACCAGTTTTCCTGGGCAAAAGAAGTAGACAAATGGCTGTATATGCATTTGGCATTTTGTTGGGGCTGTGGTATAGCTAACATGGTGCCCACGAATACAGCTGAGCGCCATGCTGACCTCCCATGGTGCCCGTAAGGCCCCTAAGCTCCCCACCTTTTTCTTCTCCCTTCAGAAGAGGGAAGGAAGCAATCACCACCTTAAAAAGAACACCGAGATGACAAGGGGTTCATCACTCTTTACCACATCCTGCCTCTATGAACTTTTTCTGGATGAGATAAGGACCAAAAACAGGCAAGTAAGAAGGTAAAGTATGAAGACATAGTTTTTTGTTTGTTACAGCAGTGACCAACACAATGCATCTGGAGGGAGTGCCAAGTAAAATGATCCAAATAAGAAGGGAAGTAGCAGAGTGTGTTTCTATGTGATTTCTCCTTGAGGCATGTGTATGTGTTTGTTTGTGTGATTCTCTTTATCCTATGTGGAGGAAGAAGAGGGTTTGCCTTCTGTGAAATGGGTGTTTTTGCAATTGGTCGTCATTGACAGTCATTTTGTGAATGGGTATTCCTACGGTTCTCCTTTTGTGACAGCATTCATGACACTTTCTCAAGATTTTAGATGTACTCATGGACACACACACAAAAAAGATTGACATTTTATGTGAGGGATAAAAGCTGCTAGGAGTAAAGTGAAAGGTAAAGGACCCCTGGATGATTAAGTCCAGTCAAACGAGACTATGGAGTGTGGCACTTATCTCGCTTTTCAGGCCGAGGGAGCTGGAGTTTGTCCACAGAAAGATTTCCGGGTCATGTGGTCAGCATGACTAAACCGCTTCTGGTGCACGGAAGACTGTGAAGAATGCCAGAGCACACAAACACCATTTACCTTCCTGTCGCAGTGGTATCTATTTATCTATTTGTGCTGGTATGCTTTTGAACTGCTAGGCTGGCAGAAGTTGCTGAGAGTAGGGTATAATGTGGAGTGGGAAGAAGGAGGAGGTGAGAAGAGTTAACAAATCTCCCACTTAGTTGTTTCTCCAAACTTAATTGTGGGTAAATATAGGAGAGTCATACACAGTTGCATACAAATTCCAGTTTGGCTCGAAGATACTATCTATACGCCTGCTTCTGGATTAACAGGAAAAGTCCTCTGCTGTTCCCAGAGGTCAGGTCAAAATTATTCTTCATTTGTGTGTCTTTTTGCTGAATACCAGTTTTAAAATACAAGTTTTAAAACTGAATACCAGTTTTAAAAAATTATGTTCTTTAAAATTATTTCAACATTCCTGGCCAGAAGCCTACAGTCTTCCCCCTTGAAGTAAGGTTATAGAATCAGTGGCTGCATTGCAGGTACATGCAATGCAAGTACAAATTATGTGTCAGAGGCAGTTCCTCACAAGCAGTTCCAGTGCAGCTCCTTCCGAGTATGGTTTGCAAAAATATTAAGATAGAGTGATAAAAATTCAGAGGGGGTGGTTTTGCTGTGCTAATCCATTACAGCAAATACAACAGCAGCATTTTGTAGCACCTTAAATGCTAACAGATTCATTGTAGCATATGTTTTTTATTGAATGCTTCTACTACAATAAATCTGTTAGCATTTGAAGTGCTACATGGCTCTTTTTCAGTATTGGAATATGAAAAGGTGAAGAAGAAGAGAGGGTGAAAAAAACAGTTTCTTTAACCTTATAGCTACAGCAAATACATCTGATGACCATTTCACATGGAGATTCTGTTCCCGGCCCCCACATGCATCAGCAGAGTGCGTATAAGCACACCCCACCTGTTATGCCCCTGTTCCACCCATTTTTTGATTTTTTGTGACATTTTCGGTCACTTCCTGGTTCAGCACTGTGTGTGCATAAGCAACTTTGAGATGCACATTAACTAGTCATTGTCTGTACTGGCAAGTCTCCAGTAGCAATTACAGAGATCTAATACATACAGTGGAACCTTGGTTCTTGAATCTAATCCGTTCCAGAAGTCCATTTGACTCCCGAAACCGTTTGAAAACCAAGGCGTGGCTTCCGACTGGCTACAGGAGCTTCCTGCACTCAAGCGGAAGCCGCATCAGACGTTTGGCTTCAGAAGAACGTTCAAAAATACTTTACTTCCAGGTTTTCGGTGTTCGGGAGCTGATTTGTTTGTCAACCAGGCCGTTTGAGAACCAAGGTATGACTGTATTTCTATATTTTATTTAAACGATTTAAATAAGGACACCCATTGTATATCATAATGGTTTTTGACTGCTTTGGATGAAGGCAACTTGAACATTAATGCCATTTCTAATACACAACTTGCAAAATCCCAGCCGATTTGTCTTTCAGCATGTGCCAAATGTGGTGCTGATAGTTAAGAACACATTGAACTCGCATATAGTATTAATTATGTATCTATGAGGCAGTAGAGACTATTTTGGTAACAGCTGCATAGAATGCAATAAGAATCCTGCTGGATCAGACCAAATGTCCATCTACTCCATTATTTTGTTTCCATCAGACAAACCAAATGCTTATTGGAAGCCCTCACACAGAGTATAACAGCAATAGCCCTGTCCCACTGTTGCTTCAACTCCCAGGTTTTCAGATGCTGCCTCTGAACATGGAGGTTCCATTTAGCCTTCACAGCTAATAACTACAGACAAATCTATCCTCCATAAATGTCTGATTTTTTAAAAAGACCTTCTAAGCCAGTGGCCAGCACTACATCTTGTAGTCTAAACCATTGAGCCTCTTGACTTGCTGATTGTAAGGTCGGAAGTTCAAATCCGCGCAATGGGGATTTGTCCCATTGCTTTGTCCCAGCTCCTGCCAGCCTAGCAGTTTGAAGGCATACCAGCACGAGTAGATAAATAGGTACCGCTGTGGTGTGAAGGTAAACAACATTTCTGTGCACTGTGGCACTCGGCACAGTGTTCCGTG